TAGCGTTACTAATTGAGTATCTATTACAGATTTTTACATGTCAGTAATCCTTACTATCCGTTTGAAAAAAAGTTCTCGATTCGGCTCCGTTTTGAACAAATTTAGACGAAAACAAATCGTCCATTTCAGAAAAAATATTCATTTCATTCAAAATGACTGATTCAGTCCTTCTCAATCAGAGTTCTAAACAATAATACACTAACAGTTAACTTCATTCAACCAGTTCAATGATTATTCAAATCGATTCATTGGTTTAATTAACTCTTATTGTTCACAATCAGCGTTGTGGATCGACGTGATCGATTGATGAGAAGACATACACGGCATCGTTTCTCTACATTTCATGTTATTTTCGACAAGCTTTCCGGTGGTAAAATTTCTGCTGAATTTTCATCACCCTCTTAGCCCATGTAGTTAAGATCTAATTTATCATTGTGCCAAATAATGCAATCAGTCTGACAATTAGGTAATTTTTATCTTACAATTAGGTAATTAGTCTGACANACAATTAGGTAATTTTTCATGTCTTCTGAGGCTCTCACATCATCTTAACAGCGAGAGATAGCGATTAATTTCGTATGTTAATCATTGGGATATGTTGTAATCGCTCCTCACTTTCGCTATATTCACTTTCATTCGTTAATTCGCATCGGTTTGAATATGTCATGAAGCAAATAGCAAAATGCTCATCGAATTTGCGTTGATGAGTCTTTGATATTGGATTAATTGTAAATAAAAGGATTGAGATTTATTTTGGTTGCCTTCATTTGTTTGCTATTGTTATGTTTGTGATTGGTTTGTTTGTATTCATCGTTCTGCTGAAAATATTTTGCGTTCTGCCACCGTATTGATGATGTTTTGTGTTATTCTGTTTACGAAGATTTTGCTTTATTTGTTATCAAATACAAATATTGTAGATATAATCATGCAAGGTTAAATATTTACGATAAGAACATTCACGAGAACAATACCAACATAGTTTTATCCAAATATACAAAGCAGAAACCATGCACAGAACTGATTTTCTTTGTTCATGTTTCAGTGAAACCATTTTAAAACATTTNATTTTCACCGCTCAGTACGGTAAAGACTTCTTCGAAGATTTCACCGGAAGTAGATGATGAATGTTTTTGAGCAATCACGATTTGAACAACAATACATCATGACACATGTTTGATCATGGTATTTGGAAGGATAATTTCTAATTGTAAGGTACTCATGAACTAAGATGAGCGTATAGCACAGATAATGTAACACACATACACAAACTGCAGTAAAATTTGTCAGTTCACTGAGTTCATACAAGGCATAGTAGGTTACGTGTGCAATTGCTAAATGAATAATCGAGACGAAATCCAGGAAAACGGATGTTTCGTGAGTGAGCAATATCACCGATTGCGTGAGAAGCACAGACAATTTCGAAGAAGGAACAAATTGTTGTTTAGTGAGGCATTCATTGATGAGCTCAGAATGTGAATCGACGTTGTTGATGAAGTGAAAATGAAGTGAAATATTTGGTTTCGTTCG